CCCCAAAACCCCAAAACCCCAAAACCCCTACCACTTCCTTCCACTTGAATTACCCCTCAACTATATCCACTCCATCTAAACCTAACTTCCAATCCCTTACCACCTACATATCAAAATCCTAAACTCACCGTACACAAGTGTGGATTTTCCAAAAGTCTGGTTCATCAGGTCTCTCTCTTTCTTAGTGATTCTGCACCAGTGAATCCAGAGTTTCCCTTTCATTTTGGAACTTAGGAGGAGGATCGAAGGGAGGTAGGGGGAGATCTTTGCAGCGGAGTCTCCTAAGCTGAGGTAGAAGTAGGTCAGGTTTGGAGGGGTTATGGAGATGAAGGAGTGGAGTTGGTCTACCTTATAATCCTTAGCTTACTTTTATTAATCATCCTGACAGACACCAAAATGATTCTTTTCACACCGGACAATAACTCCTTGTCCACCAGCCCAAGTAATTTCCTGCCGTATGGTACTTCCAACCCAATAACAGCTTCCTTCTCTTTCTCTATCTTTTCCACAAATTCACGGCCTAAACTAGAGCAGGGTCTTACACCTAGAATCTTTATTTCATCTCTTCTTGCAGAGGTGACTCAAATTCTTCAGAAGAAGAGGCCTACATGTAGTGAGAAGTGGGCTTACTGAGGAGCTGCTTTCAGGAATGGAGTCAGTGGGAGAAGAAGGCTCTTTGGATTCCTGGAGTCTGGAGATTTCTAGAGGGAGAGTGAGGGATGGTTTATATTGCTTGGGTTTGATTGAGCAATTGAATTTGAGAGTTATATCGCACTTCTCTGCATTTACAGAGGATGCAAATCACATGACAGTCTTGAGTATGAATTGCTGAAAATGCTAAATTTGCACAGAGATTTCTAAAAAATTTTAGTCTCAATATCAATGAGGAACACTCCTAAATTTTGGAAGCTTGAGTTAATTGTAGCCAGGAAATTTCATAAAATCCATATTGATAGAACGACAATAACCCATAATAGCAAAGAGATAATGAGGGTCCATATAGCACAAAGACTCCATACACAATTTGATGTAGTATACTCAATTTTTTAAGGAGCTAGTATATTTTTGGAGAACTTATAATAATACTGGGTAAAATACGAACGAAAATTAACACCTTGTGTATGAAAAACACTATATTTTAATCTATCTATACGAAAATAAATTTTACAAGCGCATCATAAAATATATGTGGTAAGGACAGGCCTTCATAAATATTTGAGCCTTCACTTGTTTGAGTGGGGAAAGAATCCAACATTTGAGAATGCTGACTCTTGAATAACACATTATATGATAAGCTGTCTAAAACTGAGAATTAATTTTGATTTATATCATTTTAAAGTTGATTTATTCTGACACTACTTCTCATTTCAGTTTCTAACAACTATGGCGTGTTTCTCAATTTAAAAGGCTAAAATAAGAGCACAAGTGGGATGTGCTTTGTAAGCAACAAAGTAAATGCTTCTTGCATCAGTTTTGGGAGGTTTACCTTTATTTCAACTCTTTTATTCTCGCCTTTAATTTCTTGATATGAGCATTTCTCCTGATAAACTCTTCTTGATGAAGATCAACTTCCTCTAGGTTTCTGTAAATGTCATAAATAAGTTGCGAAGAAGAAGGGGTTCTACCTTCTTCCTTCAAAAGATTCCAGAAGAAGTTATTTGTGAAATCATTGAAATCAATTTCACCATTAATTGCTTTCTTCATTAGCTCCGCCTGCTTATTTATACTTGGCAAATAAGAAAGGTTGATGATGGGATTCAGCTTTCCTTATTTGCTTGTTGAGCTTATCAAGCTCTTTGGAGAACTTCTCATAGATTTCCTCCAGATTTGGCTGAGATCTTCTATCGTAATTCTCTTTAATAAAAATTAAGAAGGTCTTGAGACCTTTCTCAAGGAGGTTAACATCATCTTTAACTTCACTTTGTGATGTGAGTCTAATTGCACTCTTTGGTTGGTTATTTTTCCTGAAATGTAATTCTCAATAATACATCTCATCAGCTTCATCATAATATTTTGCTCTCTGCTTGCACTCTTCATCACAATATTGTACATATCCTTCCATTTTTATTTTTAGTATTAATATAAAACAAATTTTGCTCTTTTCAATTGCCTGCTCACCATCTGGGGTTTTGGGGTTTTGGGGTTTTGGGG